AAATTTGTTCACAGCTTTCCAATTGTGTTTGTTTTGTTTTGAGAAATTATTTTTTCTAAACTTATTAGTTGAAAGTGATGATTGCTCTCCTGAAACTTGTAACTCAGGATCTCTTTAGAACAGGGGACCCAAAGGTCTAGGGGCCAGATGCAATACTTGGGGCTCAGGGCTCCTCTCCCGCCTGCTGATTTTTCTGTGGGCCAGCAGCCACTGCCCCAAAAAATGTTTCCCCGCTCCTGTTTTAGAATGTCTGCCTAAATTTAAAAGAAAATGCAATGGAGGTTCTTTACAGTAAGAAATAAAAGGCAGAGTCATACAAACTGCCTGTTGGGGTCCTAAAGAAGTACAAAAGAAAAGAGGAAATCCCAGATACAGAGGATTATGTTCCAGTGAGGGCCAAGCAGTTTCAGCAAAGAATGCTGATTTTCAACTGCACAGCACATGCAGCATGTTCTGCCCTAGATCCAGCTTACTTGTTGATGGAGCTGTATATCTTAAGACTCTTCAGATGGTGTTCATCTGTAAACTAATGGAGAAAACCCATTGTCACCTGGGACAACGGAAGGAGAGAGGTCTAGCTTCCTAGTGATAAGTGACCACAAGTTATAGTACCAGCATTTTAGTACTTGCTACTAAATATTCTAAAGTCAGAACTGCAGTAAGAAGGGAAAAGAATCTGACTTGCAAGTATTAGCCATCTGAAAGCCTATGCACTTTGAACAGATTCTTTCCATCACTCATATGTTTTTAATGTAAGGATTGCCAGAGATGGATATGCATGAACCTACGGTCTTCATTGTAATCATTACTCCCAAATCTCAGCTGAATCAGAGGAGGATGTAAGGCTTGAGAGCATAACTTTTTGCTTCCAAGCAAGGAGATTTAAAAGCTAACTTATCTTGAGCTACTCCATTTGCATTTGCTTCAAGCCCTTGGCACTTATACACACCAACTACAGGCAGTCCCCGAGTTACGCGGATCCGACTTATGTCGGATCTGCAGTTTCGAACGGGCCGTCTCCCTGGTCTCCAGCAGACCAGGAGGACGGGGAGCAAAGCAGCGGAACATGCGGGCAGCGGACAGCCACGGCGCGTCTGGGCTGTCCTGCTGCCCCTGTACTCCACGGCTTTGCTCCAGACGCCTGTGGTACAGCAGCTGGGGCGCTGCCGGTTTGTCCCGTAGCGCCGCTCTGGGCGCTACTGGACCAACCTGGCAGCACCCCAGCTGCTCTGCTCCAGGCGTCCTGATTCAGCCACTGCTGAAACTGACCAGCAGTGGCTGAATCAGGACGCCTGGAGCAGAGCAGCTGGGGTGCTGCCAGGTTGGTCCAGTAGCGCCCAGAGCGGCGCTACGGGACAAACCGGCAGCGCCCCAGCTGCTGTACCACAGGCGTCTGGAGCAAAGCCGTGGAGTACAGGGGCAGCAGGACAGCCCAGACGCGCCGTGGCTGTCCGCTGCCCGCATGTTCCGCTGCTTTGCTCCCCGTCCTCCTGGTCTGCTGGAGACCAGGGAGACGGCCCGTTGCTGTTGAAACTGATCAGTTTCAGCAGCGGCTGAATCTGGACGCCAGTTCTGACTTACATACAGATTCAACTTAAGAACAAACCTACAGTCCCTATCTTTTACGTAACCTGGGGACTGCCTGTATCATATTTTGACATAAGAAGCCAGAGATAATCCTTTACAACGAAATAACTTGCAATAATAAGTTATTTTGTGCATGTAGACTACATCATTGCAGGTGCCTACGCAGCATTATCACATTTCTAACTCTTTATTGGTATAAAGATAGAGCTTTTATAATAGAAAGCAACATACAAAATAGAATATAAATTAAGGCCCCCAAACCTGCAAACATTTGCATGCATATTTGAGTCTGTAATCCCACTTTTCAGCAGGGTTTATATTAAACACGTTATTGCAAGCTCATGGCATATTTCATTTCTTCAAGGACCAGCTCTTGTAGTCCAGTGATTACAGTAGAATCATTTTTTATTTAAATATAAAGTTCCAGCCCTCAAAAAAAAAAAAAAAAAAAAAAAAAAAGCTCCAGAGACCCAGAGGTATTTAGGCTGCCAGCTTCCATTGATGTCAAGACCTTTGAGGCTTAAGGCCAAGATGCCTAAAACATTCCTGACAGTGATTTTTCTGGACCAGACTCATTTATTTGAATGCTTGGCATTGGTGGTACTACATGTATCAAAAAGTTGCTAACAAGCATAAAATGAAGCATATGTACAATACAAGGATCTGCAGAATTGGGACTTAGTCCATAAAAAACCTGCCATTAAATGGATCAAACTAAATGCAATTTAACTGCAGAAGCTTCCATCTAAAGTTGTGTTCATGCAGTGACTGGCTTCACTGCATTTTTTTAAAGCTAGAATTTAGTCTATTTTAAGAAAATCTTGTCAGTAATGTATTTCCCAAGTTTATGCCTTCGAAGTGGTTACTTGTAGTTTTCAAATAAACATTCATATAATGAACAAAAAAGTAACATGACTGATTTGAATTTAATGAGGATCATAAGCAAATATATAGTGTGTACTAATATTTGCTTAAGGTGGGGGAAGACATTTTTGAGAGAGACTCTGGCCTCAATCCCTCCCACTTCTCATATCAGAAATGCCAGTTGAATCTGTTAAATCTTCACATATGGCAAGTAAGACAATTAGAGAAACATTTTTATGTAACTGTTTTCATAAGCGGGGACCACAATGCATGTTTTAACTTAAGTTGTTTTCATACTGTGAACACAATCCATTTTTAACTGCACAATAAAGTTGCTTCCAGTAAGGATTTAGTCCTACAATTATATCTTCCTGGTGCCACATGAACTTCACTATGGGGTTCAGGTAGGTCCACTTGCAAAGATGCTGTTGCAGGATTAGGACCTACACGTGCCATTTACCTTCTCTCAATTTAAGTTTTTGTTCCTCCAACCTGTGGAAGATCATGTTGCAATTTATATTTTGTTACTGTTTTAAACCTGAGGTTAAAGAATCTTTAACTCTGCATTGACTGGAGAAATTAATCATTGTACTTTATACCTCTAGTGGTTTAGTTTGAAGTTAATTTATAAAAAAAGATGAAATGTAGACATATGAAGCTATGAAGTAGGGATCAGCGAGGGAATCAGTTTTGTCTTACAGTTCACATTTTAAGACTGCAATCTTAGGGCTTATTGAACAGTAGTTTTCATTAGATGAAACCTTCATATTTATAAAGCTAAGTTATTTTAATATGTATTCTATACTCTGGTTAGTGAACTTTCGAAGTTCCACGGTATTTAAATTATGGATTAAATTTAACAGTTAAATACTGACATTTGGAGAACTATAAACTATACCTTCATGAACTAGAGTGATTGAAAATATGTGTCCCCTCTGCTAAACAACAAATACTGAAACCAAGAAAGAAAAGTCACAAAAATGTAAGTTTAATTACTACTTTGTAGCCATCAAGACAATACCAAAAGAAAAACTAAAAATACTATAACAAGACTTAACACAGTAATCCAGAATAGCAATACATCTTCCATAAGAGATTTATAAACATACTACCACATGTTTAGAAAACACCTAACACCACATTCATTAAAATAAATTTTAATGTGTCTCCTTGGAAATAAAGTTTGATAATGGTGTATCATTTATCAGAATGGAGCACATAAGCTGACACTTGAACTGTGTATTTCTTGTGTATGTATAACTTAGGTAGTGGTGTTGTCATCTGAAATGATATCTAATCACTGAAGTCCATGGAATAGTGTGATAACATGGGGGAGGGGGAATAGCAAAGATAGGGAACCCAACATGTATCAAGCTAAAAATAAAATTTTATTTCTGAAAGAAGATATGAATGTAAGTTTAATATGATAGGTTCTGGGAAACAGGATGAGAACAGTAAATATTTCTCTACAAAGCAAAGAATATGAATTTGTGGGAAGCAAAACAAATCTCCATGAAAATTAGTGAGCAACACAATAAGACATGAACAAATGTTAGATTCAAATACAAAACTATTTATCATCTAAAGATGAGGCTGAGATCAAAAGTTAGTGTTCTTTAAGCTCTGTTTCTAGTCTAAAAAAGGCTCAAGAATAATACCACTATCTTTAGTTTGTCCATATATTGTTCCACAGCATGTTTTAGTAACATTTGATCCAAACTGTATAAAAATCAAACACTGTTCAGATTTGAATTGCTGGTGTAGTAAGACATAAAAAAAATTAACCATTCACTGATAATCTGAAACAAGAAGGCAGTATTTTACTTCTGTTAAGACTAAAATAGAATAATTTTATTTTGCAAATTTAAGGTCTTAATTGACATGCTTAGTTGTAAATGGAGATGTTCTCTTTGTAATAGCAAAGCAGAAGGTATATGTGAGATTATGCAATGTTGTAATTTAGGATTTTCAGCATTGTAATGCAAATTAATGCTTTTGTACGAGTAGCTTGATTTCACCAGCTCATTATTAATTATAAGATAGCAAATACTAAATGAGACATTTAGCCAAATCACTGATGTAATCTTCTTGAATTGTAGGATTTCCCTGATAAGAATTCTGATAGCAGCAGAATGGCTAATTATGAACTTGTTCTCCATATTCAGATCTTCCTAATAATCAACAACCTGATTCTGGTCTTAGTTTTGCTAGTTTTATACAAGTTAACTGCTTTGGACATCAATGAAGAACTCAATTTACACCAATGTGGCCACTGAAGTCAAGTGGATTTTTACTGTTGAAATAGCAATAGGTATTAATTGTGTGACTGCAAATTCAAATGTTCAAAGAACTGGAAACAGGATATGTTAACATAAGATAGTTCTGGGTTAACTAGATGACGAGGGAAACATGCAAGTGAACTGATTTTAAATGTGCAAGCCAGGGTGCATTATCTAAAAAAATGTTGTCATTTAACAATTGAAAATGAAACTGAGTTTTAATCAAAAGTAGATATTTTGTAAGTATCTACTAA